AGGGAACTTTGAGGGAGGGGGTGGGGTGGGAAAGGAAGCCACGAAAAGGCAAGTGAAAGACAGAGGGGGAGGTTGCAGTTTCCAAAAGCAGCAGTTCTCTCCACCCTTCCTGCTCAGTCTCAAGCTTGTCTCCTCCGACTTCACAGGACCGACCCTGAAGTGGACCTGATGCCCAACCACAGATTCAGGCTGGTGTCGGGGGAGGAACCCTGCTGCAACCTCTCCAAGAAAGCCAAGATCTGTCTGGGCATCCTGTGTGTCCTGCTCATGTTGGCGATCATCGCGGTGGTGGTCGGTGTTCTGATGTGGCTAAAGGCACCCAAGCACAAGGAGTGGGACGGGAAGGGCACCACTCCGCATTTTCCCGAGATCGTCCTGGGAAGATGCTACACATTCACTCAAGTCCTGCGGCCTGAGCTGAGGTGAGTTGGCGTCTGTGGCGCAGGGCTGGGGCACCGCTCGGTGATTACTGCTGGCGGCCAGGGGCGCGGCGGGGCACAGCAGGGCACCGCAGGCGGAGGAGCTGTCTGGATTGCCCGAAACAAAGCATCTTCTGTTCCCGGTCAAATGAGAGCCCGCGGGGCAGTGCTGAGGCCAGAGTCCCCTCCCCGGCTTAGGATTCCACGCGCCTCTCGCAGGAGCTCCTGGCGGTGGCACCGGGAGTGCAGAGGAGAACTCCCAGCTCCCTGGCCCGCCCCTTTCAGCTGAAAACCCTTGGCAGAGATGCCAGCCCTTCTGGCAAGGTGCCCCGAGCCCGGGCAGGCGGGGCCGCAGCCCACCTCTGCGCTCACAGCCCGGCTGCAGTGACCGAAATAACTGCAGGCGCTGGTCTCGGGGTGGGTGGGCGGAGAGGGATGGCGTAGGTGTTGGTGGCATTTTCTACTTTGCATGGGGCTTTCCTTTTGCTGTCTCTGACCCGAAAATGCTCGGACGGTTACCAATGACACCTGCTGAAGTGGGTTGAGAAGCATGAGGTGGCGGGATGGTGTCAGAAGGGCCAGATCTCTGAAATGAGTTACATTAATTAATAGAAAATAGCTCCCCGATTCCTCTTGGGTGTGTGACACCAATGACCTGAGAACTCATTGACAAAACGAAACAATAGCAACTTTAGAAACTGAGATACAGCTTGTATGGAAAGGTGCATCAGCTCGATGAACCTGTACAGACCCTGGAAGCACCACCCACATCAGGCTACGGGGCCTTCCCAGAAGGTTCCTGGTGCCCCCTCCCACCTAGCTACTCATCTCTCCCCACAGTGAACCGCTTTGTTGACTGCTGTTCCTAGGGTTTCATTTCACCCGGAGAGCTCATTAGCTCATTTTGAAGTTTACACCAAGTAGAACGCGCTGGGAAGTAAAAACCTACTTCACAGGCTGCCTGAGGCCCCAGGGGGAGCCGCGATTTCCTGCGGTGGGTTCAGGTTGCACAATTCGGCCGCCATGACCCTGCAGTCCTGGGCAAGGAGCACAGAGATGCCTCAGCCTCAAGCATGTGGCCTAACGCAGATATCAGAGGTTTTCCTGGCAAATCGCTCAAGTCCAAAGATTACCAGGATCCCTTAAGTTTTGTTCACAAATAATTCACTAGTTAGTTGACAGAGGAACTAGAAGTGAAGGCGTTCTTTCAGGTAGTTACACTTAGTACCAATTACATCAAGTAATATCTTATCTGAATTAGTACAGATAAAAGTGATAGTTTTATTTCACTTGAATTTAACAGCTTTAAATATTTGCTGTACAGTCATCTTTGGTAAGGTCACACTCTTGGTTTGATAAGCACACCCATACAGCAAACAGATACACCATAGAAACCACAAGGCTTTTTAGTGGTTGTCAGGACACCTGCTCAGCATTAAGCACTCAGGTTTGTATACATATGTATATATACCTATGCTCAACATATGCATATGTGTGCATGTACACGTAGTTAAAATGTTAACAGGGGATAGCTTCCGTTAATATTTTTTGAACATCCAGATATGTCACATGTACACGCACACTATTTATATAAATGGCGAGTAATTAACATGGTACTTAGTAGGTGCCAGGCACTTAAAAATATCAAAACTTTTAGTCCCTTAACAACCATACGAGGCACTGGCTATTGCTATCCCATTTTCCATACGAGCAAACTGAAGTCGAGAATTTGAGTACATTGCTGAAAACTGGCTCCACAGACTGAACCCAGCCACCATGCTGTACTGTCTGTGCGTGTTCCGAACACAGGTAGAGTGACTCTGAAATTTATTGACGATGTCTGGAGACCTTTTGAAAAGAAAGAAGATGCTATTAATAATTATGCTGTCAGTAGGCTTAAACCAGAACATACAGTCACTTTATCCTTGTGTGGTTTAGAGACAAACTCTGGAACCAAACTGCTTGTGTTTAAATCTTGATTCTGTTACAACGAAACTTTGGGTGTTTACTTACTTTCTCTGTGCTGCAGTGTTCTTAACTGTAAAATGGTATGATAATGTCATATGGGAGATTATAAGGATTAAGAGGAATAATCCTGATTATACCAAGTACGGAAAACTGTATTTTTTTTGGAAGTGCAATATCACTGACATCTTTCCACAATAATAAAGGTAGACGAAGGCCAACATGAAAATGGATGCCTAGTATTTGATTTATTTAAATCACAATCTAGTAAATCAGTCCTCTAATGA